GACAGTGTAAACTCGAACATTCCAGCTTTTCACGCATGTCAAGTGACTGCCCCCCCCCCCACCCCCCTAGACTGCCTACACTCCCCCTGGCCCACGGATTTCCGAACATGCCAGGCGAGCAGACTGCCGCGCCGCCGCGTGGCCCCCCCCCAACTAAGTTAGCACCTTTGTCATTGATCCTGAAGCGAAAGGCGCTAGGCGGACAGATAAAGTTCATGATCCTGAACTGAGTGCACGCATAACCAAACGTTCATATACAGTTGTAACATGCTCAAAAGCTGCACACGAAACTTTACACGAGCGGCCGTTAAAGCTATTCATATTGAACATGGCCCCGGAAAGGTTGGTTCGTGGATTTAGACGGTGGGGTACAGCGAAAATGAGGCTTGATTCTAGCTCTTTAGTAGATGAGCTAGAGTGAGCTGCTTCAATAACACGGGCCGACATCCGGACTGGTTTAGGGTATTCTCCCCCCAGGGATTCATCGTATGACGAGAATCGCGACAATTCGGACGCTATGGTGAAGCTTATCTGAGAAGCCTCAGGTGACTTTGTACACTTTCTACTTCAGAAAGTTTCATTTTATGAACCTCGACTTGAAAGAACTGATCTTCCCCCTGATTTAACTTCGAAGCAGTGGTTCAATTCAATTTTCTATTTTCAGGGTTTTTACAGTGTAAGATGGTGACAAATAGGGGCCGATGAAGCCGTAAATGAATGAAACAAGCAAAGAACAACGGAGCTTGCTGTAAGTAACACAAAGTGGTTGTTGTTGCGCTTTTGCGGTGGTAGATTAGACCTTCTAGAAGATGAAAAACGGCCTTGTCAAAATGTCGCGACCCCAACAATTTTTTTCCGTCTAGAAACCTTGTTGGTAGATTAAAAGCCTTAAAGAAGGATTCCACGATAAGAACGAATGCCGTTCTGAGAATGCGAATTTATTTCCGTGGAGGAGACTAGGTGACCCGCTAAGGGTGTGGACCAACACGCAATTCGCATTGAAAGATACGCCTCAGGCGATTTGGCATGGCCTTCCCTTCGGCGCAATTGGGCCGGAACGCCCTTCGACACAGCAGCGAGAGAGAGTGTTAGTGTTGAAGAGGGCACAACGATGAGAGTCGCATCAATGCCGGAAAATAAACAGGGCTAGGAAGGGGTCCCATTCCTCAGGGTTCCCGGTCACATGGTTTCGTCTTCATCCCTGCTTCACTGACCACCTCTACCCTTATTTCCAAGAAGCCACCTTTTTATCGTAGAATTCGCCTTTATAAAGGCACTGCAGTTCATTCAAACTCACTGTTTTTGTCATAGGACAGGCTGGACATGGCTGTGATGGACTACTCTCCCTGCACACGTTACTTGAAGCCGTTGAACTCGTGAGTAGTTATAATCATTGTAAAATACGGTTCCCCTAAATAAATGCTACCAGCCTTGTCTGAAGACGTGAGCAGATGTTAAATAATCGTTCAAATTATCGCAACCAATTTGGAAAACCTGAACTCGAGTTTGATAAATCTCGTCTATAAGAAGCCCAACTTAAAGCTGTTAACTTCCGATCATTAGGAACACGACCCTTATAGAAAAAGCGTACTTTAGGGATTCTCGCCAGTGTCCTAAATCGACCAAAACATCAAAAACATTCTCCCTCTATAATTAGCGGCGCTATCGCTATATACTGGGGAACCCTCCAGCACTCATTGCAAGCCCAGAACGGCCAGGAGCTCCGCCGGGAAAAGAGGTATGGCACGTTCCTTGAGTTCTTCACCGCCGCTCAAGGCTTAGCTCCCGTTTTTAACGATAAAAAAAAGGACGTCTTAAGCGGTTTGAAATACACTGCCACCATAATGCCCCGTATAATGCGATAGCACCTAAGTAGCGTTTGGGGCAGTTTATATGTTGAGCCTCGTGTTCTTGCGATCAGACATAGATCAGGCTAGACCGAAAGCCAACCATGGTTACGATCCATTTTGACGGACTTCCTGTCGGCAGATTTATTTATACATTTATTAATTGCATTTATCTTTATACGTTCAATGACGCGCCATTTGTAACAGGTGATACAATACATGCGTTCAGTTCAGCTAAATCGTAAGCTCTTAGTCCCTCTCGAATTTGTAAAAAGGCCGATTCACTGTTGCTCTATCCTATTCCCGAAGTCAGCTGGAAGCCCGTTGACGGACCACGCATTAGGCCTGTTCCTGTTACGGTCATTGTACAGTCATTTCCTCATTTACCATCGCTTTCAGTGGTACCGGTAGACTTCGACGAAAAGCGAAATTCCCAGGGCGGGAGGGGGGGGGGAAAAAAGCCTTGCCCCTTTTTTTCGGGGATTAAGGGGGGGGGCAAGTTTTCAGGTGAGCTCAATACATTACGAATATTCAAAGGCGTCTAATAAGTTGGCCACGTAGCTTATCTGTAGTCCTGATTTCAGGTCCGATTCCTGGCATCGCGCTGGTCTCATACCTCCATCAAAGCCTACTCGTATCTCCATTCGCTGCAGGACATCAGCAGCCAGCTCCAATGCCGTGTTACAGGGGTCTCGTTACTATTACCCAGATCCTGGTCGGATTTTCAAAAACATAACTTACAGGCGGGAAATGCGTTCGACGAGGATCAATTGAAGTTCGCTTCATTCAAGTACCAGATATGCAAGTACGGTAGCACTACGTTGCCCGCCGTAGTTTGTAATCACAACAAGTATTTTGTCACTGAGAAAGCTGCCTATCTCGGTAAGCACTTGTCAATTTTTCTAAATAAGTAGATTGACTAGTTTCCACTGTGAATGCAGACTTAAAGGCATAGTGCACGGAAATCGGGAGACCCCATCTTTACCAAGAATTTTGACCCTAAACGCCCTGCCACGAGTATAACAAAAAGAACCACAGACCACAAAGAATCACATAAAAATCGGTTTAACTAGATAGAGTTGAGAAGTTTGGATTCCCAGCGTAAAACTGTCACTAAAGCTGACGTTGAAGAACCAACACGTGTGACGTGCTGTACGTTTTGGTTCTTCACCTACCGGTCTAAACTTTAAACGAGTATAAGCTAGATTTCCCCTAATCCTTACAGTAGCTATACCTCACTCTTTTCGTTCCAAGAGCCTGATCGACGTTTTGAGCCGGAAGACCTGGAACTTGCACTCATCATCGATAACCACACACAATACACCTGTGCGGGGAAGGAGTTCATCCGTTCAAGATGCCTTTAATCGATGAATTGAGGGTTTAGGAGGGGGTGAAGAGGAAAAAGACGTCTCCTACTAAAGGAGAAATCATCACCAATATGTTCAAGAGCACAATGAAATCAAAGATGGTCAAGTTACCACGATAGCTGGTCCCCTCAAATGTGCCGAGCATTCGTTTTCTATTGAGGTATCATGAAGGCATGAGTTGTGTCACCCATGACCAGCGTGCACCCGGGAGGATACGTGTAGAGGAATGCTCAAACCTTTGCTCTCCATTCCTTCTAGACCTACCTCTGTCATGAACCCCCAACTTCAAGTATGTGCTTCGTAGCGGCAGCCCCCTTTACCACTACGCACTTTCTTAGCCTCAAAAGTTGGAAAAAATGAGAGTAGTAATGAAAAGGTTCTGACTAGTTTGTGTTTAACTACGAAAATCTTTGCAGGAACTTCAAATTGGACTCCTGACTACTGGAAATACACGGCTGGAATAGGAATGATTGTGCGATCAGATGACTCCAGCCAGAAATCTTTCATAGTAAACCAAATGGCTCAGGTAAATATTTATTGAGCGTGACTTGCGGTATTATAAAAACAGAGTCAGTTTAATATGGCTCATTTATGACCACTCGAAGGCTCATTGCGCGATTGACTAGTTGGGGATTGTTGCACTCAAAAATGAATGTAGTTGTGGTAATTGATCTATCAGTGATTAGGAAAAAGCTGCCGTGAACGCTCAACGATTACACTCCGCGATGATCGTGAATCTCATTGGTTAGACAGGTGTCAAACTTAGCGAATTCAGCGATTTGCTGCTAGCGATGCTCGGCGAATCACTGGATTCGCAAAGTCTGACACCGGTCTACCAGGGAATGTTTTGAACTTCCCATGGAACTTTGAAAGGAGACCTAGACCTAGGTACATCGATAGAGTCTTGGACGCTGATTACAAATATGGACACTAAAACTGCTACGTGAACTTTGTAAGAAAGTTGTGAGCCTTAAAAGTTGCAAAAGAACGCTAATGATGAGGTGCAACCTATGTGGAAACACGGTTGCTTTTTGCCTGGAACTTGTTCTCTAAAAGTTCCATGGGAAGTTCAAAGCTTTCCTGATAACCTTTGATCACGATTTGGTAGAGAGTACGGTAACTTACAGTAAACAGATGAAAGCAACCAATGAGATTGTGTGATTTGAAAATCCTCTGTATTTTTTGTGCATTATTTCAATAGGGGTGGTTTAAACACCACAATTAATTATCTTTTCGGGGCCAAAACATACCTTTTTATCCGTGGAGTGCGCCAGATGTATCAAGTATTAAAATCTTATCCGAACTAATTATTGCCAGATACGGTATCGACCGTATGCTTTATTGATACAGAAAAACAACATCCTTTTTTCCAGATTTTCGAGAGGGATTGGAATTCGGACTATGTTATTCCATTATCATATTTCGACAATAACGGGAAATGGACGAACACCACAAGCCGAACTTGATATCTAACCTTCCTTAATAATTTAAATAAAAATATGTGTATAAATTATGAATAAAGATTTATAAATAGATTCTACAGGCATTAGATAAATCCTGTATAATTTCATACTTATAGTTAGTCGCAACTTATTTTGACTTCGCTCAGGCGGCTCAATCTGTGATGTCGCGCAGACGCTAGGACATCTCGCGTTTGGAATGCGCCGCGCATTTTACTTCTACGTAAAATTATTGTCGCACTTTATACTTGCTACATAAATCGTCGCACTTTATGCAAAACAGCACGTTCATTCACAGCGCAATTACAAGGTGAAAAAAATAATATTATAACAGAGCCAACGAAGTCCGAATCCCACTTGACTGTGGAGGAGCATCGCACTCTGCCTGCATAAAATTTACAACAGTATGGCCAGAGTAAGTATAATATTGATGACTTGGAAAAATATCAGAGTAAAAACATTGATTCGATCAAATATACGAGCCCACATTCGCTCAAGACGGGAATCGGACGCCATCTCCCGCAGAAAGACGTAATCGTCTGCAGGTAAGGTGTCATTTGAGTGGATCTGAATAAGTATACATATGTAATTCACCTAAAAATGTGTGTGTACGGCTAAAGAGATTTCGCTCGGACGGGTTTCGGGACACTGCAAATGTCTGCGGCGCTCCGTATGAGGCACAAGAACGCGCATTTACTACTTATTGTGCCAATGTCAGTAACTTCCGCTGCCTACCGTTCACCTATTGCTTACAAGTTTTCACCTACGCTTGCCCACTGAAGTCGAGCTGCTTCCTCTCAACATAAGGACTTGGAGGGGAGAAATAGGAGGGGTTGGTAAATTTTGGACTTTCCAACAATTGAGCAAGAAAAGTCGCTATGTAAACAAGTTCCTGCAGCGCTTGCCATTCAATGATTGACCAAGTTCTAGTAATAGTTCGCTGAACTTGTGAGCTCAGCTAATTTATTACTGTTTATAAGCTTCAAGGGCGGAAGTGGTGTAGTGGCAAGTGGCACGCTTACCACGCGAGCGGTCCGGGGATCAAATCCTGGGTCGTGAGTCGCCCGGGCCAACCAAGCCTTCCATCCCTCCGGGGTCGGTTAATTGGTACCAGACTTGTCTGGGAGGATAAAAACACTGACTTGTACATCGGCTGGCCCCCGCAAGTCATTGTATAGGCCACATCGCATTCAAACGCCACTACGAATGTACAAATGGAAGTAGAATGCGTGCCGCATCCCACAAAAGGGAGTAGAAATGCGGCGCCCATACCGAAAAGGATTGGTCAACAGCCAGTTTAAACATTTTTCATGAGCTCAAGAAAATCGTGTCTGCGGCACCCTAACCAGGTAAGCAGCGTCATCCGCTCAGCTGCTGCGCAACAGTCTTTTCCGCTGGTGCCTTTAACCCTTTCGGACCTGAATTTTTCCCCGTGGAGAAATTTTTCTTCTAGCTATTGTTTATTACTTGTGAGCATATAGGTATCATTATGGCGAAATTTGGAAGCTATTCGATCACAAACAAAGAAACTGAAAAGCTTTGAAAATTGCCTAACCTTCTTAGTTTTTAAGCTTATGTCGAAACAATTCGAAGTTTCATAGTTGTGCCGAAAAAGTTTATAATCTTTCATAATATTATAACCCATAATTTTGATTTAGGAATGGATCCACTTCAAGTATTTTAAGACAAAGTCACACTTACTTGGCCGGTTGCGGGGGTCAGCGCCCATTCACTGTTGCACTTGTACACAAATACTTGCAATACTAACAGCAATAAACAATGAAATGGCCGGTTAAGCTCATAATTAGGAAGGGGAAGGTTGACTGAAGCAAACTCTAGCAGGATTAGAAAAACCATGCTGTTTCAGCGGCAAATGCAAGCGTTTGAATTTGGTGGTGGCAATTGCCACCGCCAGGGCCGAAAGGGTTAAGCAATAAGCTGCGCGCGAACGAAATACCGGCCCAAAGAAGAACGATTCGGTGCTGCGACGCCACAATCGGAATCCACTGAGCCACACCCACTTATAGACAGCTACGCCCATTTCTCGATTCACTCACCAACCGAGGTCTCATTGGGCTGAAAATCTTGCTGAACCATGGGCGAGTACCACTTTCTTTGATTAGCCAAATCTTCGGAGGTAGTAGATTAGCACGCATGAGCGCTTCAAAAATGAACTATCAGAATCGCCAGTGGGAGTGGGTGGATTGACGAAAGGAGACCAGATCGATCTCACTACGCTAGCCGTAGGATGAAAATGCAGAACTTACTCGGATTGGTCGTTATCTTGCTGAAATCCATCGTAGTGCGTGATTTTTCTGTCGTATCGTCTAGTGAGTATTGTCGCTGCCAACCACGAAGGTGGGATCCATCCTCGAGTGGAAGCCCGCTCATGAAGGATCAGAATAGATCGACGTGATCAGTACGGCAATTGCGCATAAAATCGTTTGCGCCAGAACGTAGACACCTTATGAGATAAAGACGAGCTACAAATTCCAGGTAAGGAAAGCTTTTTATTCAAGATATTTTGCATAGACCGAACTCAATTTTCTTACACTCTCAATTGCATGTTATAGGCGGAACTATATGAGTATTCAAAACTACGATTCATCTATAGATCGAGTGTTAGCGGACAACCGACACTAGTTTCGAATTCTAAAAATATCCATAATTCCAGTTCAGATGTAGATTAGATGATGTTGCAACAGCGGGCCTCATTCATTGTGGTAATAAGGCTTTCTAGCATACCCCAAATTTGCTGCGTGCGCCTACTCCTTCAAGACCGATGACCCGCGAGTGGAGAATTGAAAACTCTGCAGTATCTGTCGTCCTGCTTGCCATGCTCTCTGGTCTTCGCCTGTCGTTCTTTCGTCTTGGCGCAAAGTTCCTTCTACACTATTCGCTCAAGGGAGAGTTCCACAGGCGAGACTCTTGACGCCGAAGTAAAGGTTACTCTGGCTATTTCAATGTCTTTCTTTTCTTCATTAGCGAGGTCAGTAAACCTACTCTATCCGTATCCGATCACCGTCTATCCCGCTCCCGGCACCATGGAATATGTGTTTTTTTTTAATGATTTTTTGTACCATGTTTGAATGACGCTTACCCAAAAGAGGCAGCTTCTGTGATTCGGCATTTGTGGCGGTACAGATTGCAGGATGAGTGACTATGGCCCCAGTTAACGGCGTGCAGAACGCCAAGAGAAACCTAAATGAAAAAAGTTGTAAGCATTATGGTCCCAACTAGTGGCAGCCCTAAGGGCTTACGAGCGAAGTTATTGAACTTCCTCAGCATAACTTTATTAAGGCTAACGTTTCGGCTTCTTCGCCTTCGTCAGAGCCTGAAAAAGTCAAAAACAAATGTGACTTGACCGCTCAAACACCTCCACAATACTGAAGACAATTTCCATATCTTAGTAAGCCGACGGTCAAGTCACATTTGTTTTTGACTTTTTCAGGCTCTGACGAAGGCGAAGAAGCCGAAACGTTAGCCTAATAAAGTTACCTAATCTTGGACGGCTACAGTCAAGTACTCATCTGATCCAACAATGCCAAGATTAAAAGAAAGTCGATCCTGGACGACTGCATTGTTCAACTTTTTATTTGCCACTTGAACAGTATGCCTTTAATGCCTCTATTGCAATTCAATGAATGATGCGCTTGCAAGTCGCAGGCACAGCTTGGTTCATATGCTATTATTTTTTGTGATTTTCATGAATGCGACAGAAATCTGTTGGTGCTTTCCAGTAAGAGAAGAGCACTGCTCGCGTAAGGTGCTCCAGTCCCGATTTCGCTAAAGGATATCACTTAGAAAGCAACGAACTGTAACGTTGTTATCCTGACACCATTCCTTTGAACTAATTGTCTACTGTACAAGCTTTAGTGCGAAGAGGTTGTTGTAAGTCAGGTGAACCAAGTTCTCATCCCCTAGGACCAAGTCCAGGAGATGAGGGTAACTCCGGAGGAAAAGAAAACTACCCACACACCCAAGTCTCTCCCCCTCTCAACACCACACGACTCACGTCCAAAAGAATATCTGGGAAAGAAAAAGTCTTTGGCGAGTCCATGGATGTGCTGGACGGCCCGCACAACAATGAAAAATACCCATAATTTCTTTAGCCAACTGTTTTTTTAGACAGAGCACCCCCCCCCCTTCTTCGCTAAAAACCATACATAGACTCGAATTCACAGAAGAAATCGAAGACGCTAGCTACCTTTTCTATGTTCAACCCACTGGTCTCGGTGGGCAAGAAGAGACCGTTGATGCAGAGGAAGGTGCAGACACATGTTGGAATAACGATGGCCAACGAGTAGAACTGTGAGTTCCGACGTAGCGTGACAGAAAATTCCAGCTGAAAAGAAGGATTTCAAAAGTAAGGCCGGTAGTAGGATTTTTGCCGTGCTCGTTCCTCTCAGTGGGAATTTTTTTGTCTTTATTTGGAAATGTTATAAACATTAATGGTTCACTTTACAGTAAACTCGCGCGTTTCTACTGAGTAAAGTAGTAAGCTCTCCACGAGGTAGCTAAGCAGACTTTATTGGCTTACGTTTCGGCGGGGTCGCCTATAAGTAAGGGAGGGAGAATGTTCAACTGACCATTTGGAAATCACCTTCCTCGTAAGTTGTGTCGAGGGTTATCTTGGATGTTAGAGACACCAACTTCCATTCGCTGTTACCCTGAATCGTAATTTTATTGAAGATGACGAAAACCTGAGCTAATAGGAAGCAGCATGTCAAATCAACATTAATTTGGATGTATCCCCCTTTTTTGTTATCTTTTGGTTTCGAAATAATCTGTCGGTAGCGGTACTGCAAGGATGTTGACTGCCTTCAGCGACTAAATGGTTTGCGCACAACAAGGGCAGGTGAACTCGATGTTATGACAAAAACTGAGAACACATCCATAGGCGCCGCTTTCCCATTTATAGTTAGTAAACACGATGCCTGAAGGGTGGAGCGCTTTTGATGAGGCCATTTGGCGTCATTACTGTAAGGTCGTGGGAGCTGGTTGCAACCGCACCCATCAGCGATCGAAGGGAAAAGTCCTCCAATGACGTAAAATTTCGTCATCAAAAATGCTCTACCCTTCGGACGTTCTCTTCGCATCGCTTCCTTCCGGAATCACAAATGGCCATGTACTTCACCGAACCCATAGGACCATACGCAGTGTGCGTTTAAAGGCAGCGATTACGATAAAGTGGGAGCGCATCGGGAAGCATATGCACCACACGAATCAGTTACTTGGCTGCCAGGGAAGCGAGGTGTAGCGCTTTCACGACGAAGGTGCGCTGGTTGCTGAGCAGGACTTCGAAAGCACTCCGCCCCCAAAAGCGATCCGCCCACTAGTTTAGTTGGTGATTTGGACGAGCTGCGTTGCCAGCAGCGGCACAACTGAAGCAACTCGACTGGAGCATGGATTGGCATGCTGTCACCAAACGCGTTGCGCTGAACTCGTTCATACGTCCGCTTTCTGAGCTGTTACCTGTTCATGAGTGAAAACTAACGGCCAAAAAAGGGGTCCCGTTTTGCGTTTTCTTGACGGATTTCTCCGCTTTTTTCGCTACTGGCGTACCACTGAGCACCACCAGTCTCCTATAAACCCTCCTTGAATCTATCGTAATCACTGCCTTTAAGGACAAAAGCAGCTGTTCCTACCACACTTTCCATCATCGGCTTTGTTCGAAATCTTTTTTCAAGTGGTTTCTACTCCATTGGTTCCAATCTTTTCCTCACCCTTCAGGAGTGGCCAAAAAATGGGACTACTTTACCCCACATTTCAGACAGCATTAAACACATCAGTTTAAAGAGCACATATACTATTCGGTCTAATATGTACATTAGCCTTCAACAGGGGTGACGACGTCAGAAGATTTCAAGTTATCCACGAAACATGGTTCCGCGCCAGCGAAGCTCTACGAGAGTCGATTCGAGGAACCATTAGATGTTCATTACGACGTCCCTGCGAAACGCTGCGTACAAGCGAACCGCCCCCGCTCACAGTCACAAGCAGTGCTCTCTTAGAACTTTATTCAACAATTACTCCACTGAGGAAATTGTGTAGCAGCTTCAGGTCGGAGCGATTACGGTAAGCCTCGTTGAGCTCGACGGTGACGGCAGATGACGTCATATTCTGAAGACGGCGGGGGCAGTGAAGGAGGGCCTGCTTCTGTTTACGGGGAACACCTAGGAAATATTCCGCCGTAAAACTTTCATTAACATCGGCTCCCTGTGCGACGAAAAGTTCGATGATGTGCGCCATGGGCAAAGTGTCTTTTTTTTGGCCACCCCTGTATATTTAAATAATTGGCTATTACCTTCACCCTTTCTGCCCTTATATACAAACATGTCAATCGTTAACGTCACATTTGGTTTTCGGCGTTATGATAAAATGCCTGGAAATGGCAACAATCTTCGGGCATTTCATTGAGAAGTTCCTGCAACTAAATGAGTAGGACCGTGAACCTTAGACCAGGGTCAACTGACTGTTGTGCCAATTTGGAAAATTGTCACTATATCAAACCTTACCCCCTCCATCAGAACAGGATACCAAAACACGACCCTCCCCCCTCCCCCTCATCTCCAGAAACCCTAAAAACGACCTCACTCGTTGAAATTATGCGACGGACGGTGGACAATGCCTCGGTCACAGCTCTCAAAACAGCCGCAGCTTGAGATGAAGACCACAAAAGCCGTTGAAAGCTGGAAGTGATAAATGGGAAATTTTCAAAAGAACCTACGGTAAAGTCCTCGGAAGGTTTGTAGTAGTCATAGGGAGTTTGGAATACGCAAATAGTCCATGTCGTATTTGCCATGAACCAAGTGCTAATCGACAAATCTGGGTATCGTAGGGAAAGTCACCCACATCAATTTGGCAAGGATGTGAGACAACCTGAAAATGATGCACATTGAATCAAGTTTCATTGTGCAACTTTAAGCCGAACACGTTGCTGGCGTGGTGACATCTAATTTCCTGAATTTAAGATAATTTTAAACAACTTTTTGAATATTTTTTATTTCCGGTGACGAGCACAGGGATTGTTTATTACTTGGGATGGTAAGAAAGTCCTGAGCCGATTTTTCGAAAGCTCCAGAACTTTCGCTTATTGATCGATACCTAGAATCTGCTACGTGATAGACTATCGCTGTCGATCATACTTCTCCGCAGTAGGTATATATTGCCGGGTTGCCTTCTTTAACTTTAATCATGATGTCGATTCCACAAGAACACTTTCGAGCGATCATCTTCAATGAATGGCGCTGCGGCACAGGAGCAGTGGGAACCGTCAACATTATCAGCATCGCATTGGGAAGGACACCACTTCCATCATCAGTGCCAAGCTCTGGTTCGCAGGCTTCGAAGGAGGAGACACGGCTTCCGAAGAAAAGACAAGGTTGGGAAGCCCCAAACAGTGGAAGACTCCACCGTTCTCGGCGCTGTCGAAGAGGATCCGGAGGTTAGCACCCGCAGCCTTGTGATAAGACTCGGGTGCACCCATCCCACGTCCTCACCGACAGGAGTTTTTGGAAGGCATGATTACGAGAGATGAGAGTTGGGTCCTCTACGATTCTAACAAGCACAGTGCCGTGTGGCTCCCTCGAGGAGAAGACCCGCCGACACAAGCAAAATCGGACCTTCACCCCAAAAACTGTCTTCTTTGCTACCTCTGGGATTCGTGAGGAATGTTGTATTGCGTATTTGACATGGAGTACGTACAGTACAAACCTGGCATGGATCCAAATCTAACCGAGCATACGAAAATTCACTTTTGAAAGATAACGACAAGAGGTGTCCTCCAAGGGGCCCGTCACGCGGCGATGGAAGAGACGCGCGCATACTGTAGCGGTTAGGCGTCAGGTTAAATAGAGTGTACATACTACGTCTCATATCGCACAGCACGCGCTGCGACTCCTTTGCCGCATCTGCGTCTCTTCCTTCGCCGCGCGACGGGCCTCTTGGGGGACACCCAACGACAAGGAAAGATTTCGAATGCTAATAAATGGACAAGGACATGGACCGTGATGATGCAAATTGGATGTCATACCTGGAGATTGGATTGAAGAATGGAACCGTCATACTTTAGCACCACCATTCGCCGCTCGTACTCAATAAGGTCCTTCTTAGATGTTCTGAAGTTCTGACGGTAAAAAAAGCAATAATGAAAACTTTTGACTCAGAGCAACCCTATTTTGGAATGCTTCCAATCTTTCAGTTTCCACTCACGATCAAATCGGATTTGAACGCCGTTTTTTAATGCACGCACAAGTCAGTATCTTCAAGGCATGCCCCAGGATCACACATCGCTACAGATGAGAGAGCGCCAGACAACAGCGATAAGAGAAAAAAATCTGCAGCTTCAGCAGCTTACTTTGCAAGGCCCAAGCGCTCTTGTCGGTTGGTTTCCGTGCACGGGAACGCCACATTTGTGATTGTCCTCTAGGGGTCTATACTACAGACCGAAGGGAAGCGTTCACACGACCTCTGCCTGGGTTGTGCCTTTAAACCCTTGGCATCAGTAAATCAGCCTTGAGAAAAAAAAGCATTGGTAAACCTGAGTAAAATAGGGAAAGACGCTTGCTTCTTCCTAAA